GACTTGGTTCACCAATGCTTTTGTTTGCAATTTGGTTCACAAACAGAAGTGTTTGGCAAAACTGTGGTTTTGTTCGCAAATCCTCCATCAGGTGACAAACACAACTGAGGTCATTTTACCCACACAAACACAGGAAACATGAATTGGAGGAAATGGAATTTGGAGAAAAGCCAGAGTGTTACCATTTCTATGTTCGCCAACTTGGGTTTTCATGGAAGCTTCAGGAGGTCTGCCTCTCCAGGTCAAGAGTCTGGGTAGCTTTGGTGGCGAGTTACACTGTGTCTCAGGACCCATAGCAGGAGACAAGAGGGCACATCATAGAGTATCTTCTCCACAGGCCAGGAAGGTGTGTGAGCATGCACATGTGTGTTTGTGAGTGATGGGGAGCCACACGGGGATTTAAGCTAGGAGATGATAAGGTTACACTGGCATTTTGGGGGGGGGTGGTTTCGAGACAGGGTCGCGCTATGTAGTCTAGGCTGGCCTTGAACTTGCAGTGATCCTCCTGCCTCAGCCTCCAGAGCTGGGGCAGCTACCACATTGGGTAGTGCATTTCTAGAGTCCAGGTTTGGGTAGTGGTGAGACCAATGACCTTAACAGAGACAATGGCAGCAAGAATGGAGAACTGGGGCCTCGGTTTGGCTGGAGGCAAAGGAACAAAGACCCTCCCACTCCCATTTCTCAAATGGACAGGACTTCTAAGCTGGGAGAGATGGTATATATGACTCTCATGGGGCAGCCAACTTAGTTTCCTGAATCTGCCACTGTGTATAAGGCACTAATACAGGTTGAACACCCCTAATCTGAAAAATCTCAAATCTGAAACGCTCCAAAATCAAACTTTTGTTTTTGCGGCACTGGGGACTGAACCCAGAGGAGTTCTACCACTGAGCTACATCCCTAGTCCTTTATATTTTGAGACGGTGTCTCACTAAGGTTCCCCTGCTGGCCTTGAACTCCTGATCCTCCTGCCTCAGCCTCCCAAGTAGCTGCATTACAGGTATATAACCACCACACCCAGTCAAAACAGAAACTTCTAAGTATCAACAGGATGGCACAATTGGAAAATTCTACATGCGACCTGTGAACAGTTGCAGTCAAAATGCTGGCACAGTAAAATACTGTATAAAATCACTTTCAGGCTATGTGTATAAGGTGTACACGACACAAATAAATTTAATGTTCAGACTTGGGTCTTATCCTTAAGCTATCTCATTATGTATATGTAAAGATATCTCATTATGTATAATATTCCAAAGTACAAAAAAATTTGAAATTTAAAACATTTTTGGTCCCAAGCATTTCTGATGAGGGATACTCAACTTGTAGTCATACCACAGGTCCCAGATCAAAGAGTATCTCCTGATTTTGTGTCTAATGAATGCTGCGGCCAGATGCTTGCATCCGTCAACCCAGGCTTCTCCCTGACCTCACTTCAGTGTGCACCGCGCACAATTTATGGCTTTTTTTTTGTTTGTTTTTTTGAGACAGGGTCTCACTATGCAGTTCAGGCTGGCCTCGAGCTCACTTTGTAGCCCAGGCTGGTCTCGAACTCACAACGATCCTCCTGCCTCAGCCTCCCGAGTGCTGAGATTACAGGTGTGTGTCACCACACCTGGCTACGATTTATGCTTTTATTTAGGAGAATAAATAAATGAAGAGAAGAATGCAGTTTGGGGCCGGCGGCCGGAGTGGGCGCTCATGTGTTGCACCCTGCACCGGGTGTGTTCAGGTCATTAAGATGCAAAAAACAAAAACAAAAACAAAAACAAAAAAACAAAGAACATCTCCTTAGTGCGGGCACTCTTTCTCTGGGGTGGAAATCCCTATGCATAGGGCTGCTGTTCAGGGGAGCTTTTTCAGGCTTCTCTGTTCTGGGAGGTGTTGCAAGCGAGGCCTCTGAGGACAAGCAGTCAATCTGAAACCTAAACCATCTTGGGATTAAGTGAAACTGGAAAAGGCCCCAGACCACAGCTTATGTCACATCTTCTCTCCTGGTGAAGGCTGGGGCAGAGCTGCCTCTGGCCAGTTCCAGGGACTTCTCAATGTGTTATAGGAGGAAGTGGGAGAAGAGGGGTGCAGGGCACCTTCACTTAGCCTCTGACCTTGGGAGAAGGCTGCCAGAGCTCAAGTGAGCCCTTGGCCAAGGGCAACAAGCCAGGATCCAGGGGCAGCAACAGGAAGCTGGGACTGACGTCTGCCCTGGCTCCAGCAGGCTCCTCCCCTGGAATGCATTTTCTTCAAAACTTCCTGGTCCCTCAGCCACCACCCCCTAAGGGGACAATCTGATGGCTCTTCCTTGACCTCCCTAGCTTTCACTCATTTTGAGGCCTAAAAGCTTCTCTTAATTTTATCTCACTTTTTCCTTCTTTTTTTTTTTTCTTTTTCTTTTTTGAGACAGGGCCTCACTATGTAGCTCAGGTTGGCCTCAGACTCACAGCAATCCTCTTGCCTCAGCCTCCTCAGCGCTGTGTGCCACCATGCCTGGGTTTATAAAACTCACCTCTTCTAACTCAGCTTGCTTTCCCTTGCTGCCTTTAATCAAACTGAAATAACCCAAAATACCTGGGGATAACCTCTGCTTTACCCTCTTTGCTCCTCTGAAGACAAAGCCCATTACTGCCCTTTCCAGAGCTCTCTCTTCCCTTCAGTGCCTCTCCCGCCTTCTTCCTACTGGAAAGGAAGACCATACACATACCTTCCCACTTCTTTTATTTTATTTTTTTGGTACCAGGAAGCAAACTTAGGACCTTATGCTTGTCAGGCAGACACTTGTGCCACTGAGCTATATCCCCAGCCCACTTTTTAAAAAAAATTTTTTTTCCACCTTTTTTTTTTTTAAACTAATGATGGAACTTAGGGCCTTTGCACTGAGCTCGTACATTCCCCCTCCTTTTTATTACTTATGATCCTCCTGCCTCAGCCTTCCAGAGTGTTGGTATTATAGGCATCTATCACTACATCCAGCTGTTTAAGTCTGTTTTGAGCCACAAATCCTGTTGGTAGTCCAGCAAAGCCTAAAGATTGCTCCTCAAAATGTTTATAAATGCGGCACAAGCCTGTAATCCCAGCACTAGGGAGGCTGAGGCAGGAGGACTGCTGCAACTTCGAGGCTACCCTGGGCTACATAAGTCAAGGTCAGCATGAGCTACTTATTGAGACCCTGTCTAAAAAAAAAAAAAAGAAAAGGTAACCATGAGATACACCAACATACCCTTGAAACTGGGCCTAATGAGATCTCTCTGGGCTTAGCTGCAGGTCCAAGGGGACAGGAGACCAAAGGAGGCAAGGCTGGGAGCAGCTGCTGGGCTCTCCTAGGAGACCATATGCAAGAGAGAGCTGCATCTCTGCTTGATTGGCTCAAATCCCAAGGCACCATTATGCCAGGCATTATCCTTTCCTTTCCTCTCCCTCCCTTGACTCTAGCACCCCCAGTTGTTAGCAAGGTTTCTCCTCATCCCTAAAACAGCTCCCCAGGTGACAAAAACCAGTGGTTCCCATGAAATGGAAGGTAAAAACAGCAGCCCATCTCAGGGGTTCCTCTCACACTGTACTCTCAAGATTTTCCACAGGGACAGAATGGAAGCTTTTGTCCCCTCAACCCAGAGTCTGGGCTTCATGAAAGAAATCCCACAAGAACAAGTGCAGTGTAAATTCTGGTTTCTCTAAGGATAGAGGCTGAGAGACAGGACTGGATCTTTTTCTTGTTTTTATTTTTATGTCTTATTGAGATAGGGTCTCACTATGCAGTTCAGGCTGGCCTTGAGCTCACTTTGTAGTCCAGGCTGGTCTCGAACTCACAATGATCTTCCTGCCTCAGCCTCCTGAGTGCTGGGATTACAGGCGTGCGCCAGCACACACGGCCAGGACTGGATCTTAGAGATCAAGTTGGCCTTAGTGCTCTCTGGGGGTCTCTTCTATCCCCAGGCTATCTCTGGTCTTCAGAGGCATGTGCCTGTGGGGTATCTCATCTCCCTCAGAGGAACTACCTTCTGGATTGTGGAGAGACTGATTCTGAGATCCAAACTGAGCCTAAGACTATGTTTTGGGGTGGAGCTTCCCAATGTCTTTATCATATCTCACCAAGAGTGGGAAGCTGTAATTTTTGGTTCAGGGCTTCTTGCTCTGCACCTGCTGAAAATCAGCGCCGATCATGGTCGCTGGGGAACGCTACAGCTGCAGGATTCCAAGCTGTCAGGAAACAGCCTTCTTCCCCCGCTCCTGGAGGCAGGGACTGCACATTCTGGGGGCTTGAAAGGCTTTAAGCTACCTCCTAAGGCATCCCAAATCTACAATGTAAACAGCAGTCTTAAAGCGAGATGCACACCTCCTCCCAGGGCTGCAGTGCCCAAGCCCCACCTAGACAGGCGTTCTGGAGCTTGCAGCATTTTGCAATCCGGAGTGGCACAGGCCAGAGCCGGGTTTCCCAACCTGTAGAGGCCGCACCCACATCTCCAGGGCGGGCAATGCCAGTAACCCCAGCAAGCCCTAGCTTGCTCGGAACTAACGGGTCTGACTGTGCAGGAGGAACAACCCAGGTCTCTGAACACCTCTGCCTGCAGGCACCTGCCCTCTACAGCTGGCCGAACCACCCCCAGTCCCGGGCGCTGGAAATCAGCCAGACTACCGTGTTCCAAGGAACCACAGGTCCCCTCCCACCCGGAATTCCAAGGCTCCAGTGCGTGACCCCCAAGCCCACGGTGGCGTACCGTGCAGGGGAGGCCGGGTCTAGGCAGAAGGGAAGAAATAAACACAGGAAGAAACGCAGGGGGAGGAGGAGCCGCTGGTGAGTGCCCGACGGTGCGGAGCCTGGAAAGCGGGTGTGTGGGGGTCTCTCCGGGAAGGGGTCTCAGGTGCGGCCGCGGGGCTGCTGGAGACCCAGGCTCAGCACGCGGAGTCCCGACTTCGGCCCCCAACCCTCCGAGCCCTGCGCCGGCCCTGCCCTTCTCCATCCGCCCGCCCCGGCACCCCAGGATCCATCTCCCCTGCCGCTCCCTTACCTGAAACCACCAGCGCCTCGTTGGGCCCCACCGTGTGGCAGTTGCCCATGGCGCCGGCGGGACGCAGAGCCCTCGCGCCGCACGGACAGACAGCAGCAGCCCGTCCGCAGCGCCGGCCGCGCCCAGCCTATCCCGCCACCCCCAGCGCCCCTCTGTGGTCGCGGCCCCGCCGGAAGTGTGGCGGCGGAGGGCGGGGCCGGCATGTTGAGAGAGGCAGGAGACGGCCAGCTCAAACCGTCAACTCGCTTTATTACTGGGGGCTCCACCCTAAGGGACCCAGTCCTACGGCGCCGCGGGGAGCGTCTGCCTTCTGCCTTGGGGCACCTCGATAACCACTGCCCCGCTCCACCTCGGGGCACCCAGCTTACAGCAGTGGGTCCTGATGGTAGACCCCCAGGTCCCAAATTGCAGTCCCGGTTCTTACTGGTGTAGTCCTTGGGGGACTCTTTTCCTGCGGACCTTATCCCGGCTCTGTCAAATGGGGCGATTTTTTTGGAGCCAAGGTCTCGTTGTGTAGCTCAGGCTGGTTTTAAACTCAACGATCCTTCTGCCTCAGCCTGTAGAGTGCTGGGATCACGGGCGGGCGCCACCATGCCGGGCCAAAGTGGGGTAACTACCTAGCTAGATGGTTGCAAAGGGCTTAGTTCACTCCTTCTCAGTGTTGGCAGTGCATCAAATCACAAATTCCCTGGCTCTGCCCCAGATCTGATCTGAACCATCCTGGGTAGGGCCTGGAAATCTGCAATTCAAATTCCCGAGGAGCACATTACCCTCCACTCCTGAATCAGGGGTTACTACTGTCCCTCTCAGGAAGAAATATTTCCTTCCAGGACACACCCAGAGCCCCAGAAAGTAACCATGGAGGTAAACATGGCAGACCCCTCAGTGCCCAGAGAATGGCCTGGCATACAGCTGTGGTTTACAGGGGTCAAGGAGCCAGGAAAAGCATCCTGGCCTGGGGTTTAGGAGACTTGGGGTTCAGGCTCAGTTTTCACCTGAACTCGGTGGGTCAGCTTAGACAAGTCTGGTGATCTCTGAGGGCCAGGGGAGGAGGGTTCAGAAACTGCGGGCTCTGCAGGGTAAGGGGTGCTCGGTGAAGATGGGGTCCTTAGGTCCTCCAGCGGGGGCTCTTGGTCAGGTTCATCCTCTTTCTCAGCCCCAAGCCCTGCCAGCTTCATGCTGGCCTTCCACAGCTGGTGGGCCACACGGTCGTCTCGGGCAACTGGGGACACATCTTCCACGTGGCAGTTGGCAAAATATCTCCCACTGAAGGGCTCGATGCCCTCTTGTAGAGCACAGTACAGTGGTGTCTGGGCGCCTCCTTTGGGTGTCCGGAGTACCAGCCAAGCCAGTGGGCACAAAAGTGGGCGCAGCCATCCAGGAATGTGGCGCAGAAATAGCTCCGAGTTCACAGGTCCTATGGATATGAAGGAAGAATGGTGCTAGGGAGGATGGTGGGTGAGGGCCCAGGGCATAAGGAATGGAAAGAAAGCTAGCAGGGGAGTCGGGGACAGAATCCGGTTCCAGAGAAACCAGAATACTATCTACCAGGCATTCAGGTCCCCCTCAAGCTGATTTTGTTGATTTCCTATAGGAATTCTCTTTCCCTCCATCCAAACTGCATGTATAGCCTTGTCTCCCGGATTTTGATAATGTTGCATCCCCTGCCTCCCAATCTCCATTTTTCTTGTATCTTGAGCACTGTTCCTTTGTTTAAGTATTAAGAAGCTATGGTGGGGCCGGGGGGTATAGTTCAGCGGCACAAGCGCCTGCCTGGCAAGTGCAAGGTCCTGAGTTTGATTCCTGGTACCAAAAAAAAAAAAAAAAAAAAAAAAAGCAATGGTGGAGCTAGGCACGATGGGGCATGCATACAGTCCCAGTACTCTGGGAGGCTGACTCAAGAGGATGGGAAGCTTCAGCCCAGCCTGGGCAACTTACCAAGACCCTGTCTCCAAAAATGGGCATCTGAGATGAATATACCCTGTCTCAAAATAAAAAATAAAAGAGGGTTGGGAGTGTGGCTCAGTGTGAAGGCCCTGAGTTGAATTCGCTGTACCACAAAAAAAAGAAGAAACGAAAGAAAGAAAGAAAGAAAGAAAGAAAGAAAGAAAGAAAGAGGGAAAGAAAGAAAGAAGGAAAGAACCTATGATGGGCTGGGCATTGTGGTACAGTATATACCTATAATTCCAGCACTCAGGAGGCTGAGGAAGAGGATCATAAGTTTAGGGCCAGTCTGACCTACAGAGCTATAGCCTCTCAGAACAACAACAAAAAGAGCCTATGGTATATTAGACAATGTTTTGCACATTAGGGATGTGAAGCTGTAATAAAAGCTTAATAAAGGTTAGCTGTGGCAGGGCATGGTGGCACACCTCTGTAATCCTAGCACTCAGGAGGCTGAGGCAGGTGGATCACCACAAGTTTGAGGCCAGCCTGGGCTACATAAGTGAGTTCAAGGCCAGCCTATGCTACATGAGTGAGTTCAAGGCCAGCCTATGCTACATAGCAAGACCCCGTCTCAAAAAACAAAAGAAGGGCTAGGAGTATAGCTCGGTGGTACAAGTGCCTTCCTGGCAAGTACAAGGTCCTGAGTTCAATTCCTGGTACCAAAACAAAGCAAAACAAAACAAAAAGATTAATTGTGATTATTATTATTATCACTATTATATTACCAATGAGTCTTAGGCAATGGTTATGCAAAATGCAGTATGATAACATAGGAAGGGCAGATCTTACTATCCTGGTATAACCTATTTTCCAAAGGCAAAGATGAGTCTATTCACTAATTGTCTCACTCAGAGTAAAAGCCAAAATGGTTACAGTGAACCTCCAAACCCTATGTGACCCAGCCCATTTCTACAATCTCATCACTTACCACTCTTCCCCCTTACTTTTAGCCATACTATCCTCCTTTAAGCACACCAGGAACTTCTGCCTCAGGGCCTTTGCATTTGCTATTTGCTCCCTTCTCTTTTTGAGTTTCCTTCCAGAAAGATACTTGGCTCACCCTTCACCTCCTTCAGGCCTCTGTTCACATTTTCAGATATTTTCCTTCACTGCCACTCACGAAATAGCACCTCCTTGCATTTCACATTCCCCTTAACCTACTTTTTTCCTTAACCTGTTTTATCTTTCCCCAAAGTTATTACCATGTGTCACTGTTATATGTCTGTTTATCAGCTATCTCCCCCTCCCCTGCAGTAGAATGCAGACCATGAGGGGAAGGCCCTTGTTTTGTGCGTGAATATGTGTGTGTGTGTGTGTGTGCGCGCTGGGGAACGAACCCCAGGCCCTGTGCATGCTAAGCACAAGCTCTGCCACTCAGGTACACCCCTGGGCCAAAGTCTTCATTTTGTTTATTGTTATAACCCTAGCATCATGAATAATGCCTGATATGGGGTAGGTCCATAGTAAATTCTCTGTGAATGAGTAAATAATTATTAGCTATCGTCACTGTCATCATCGCCATCATCATATTACAGTTGGTTGCATCAGTACAGATGGATGTGTGGGGAGAGAACCCAGGTCTTATTCTTGCCGTGCCCCTCCCAATGGTCAGCACCCAGGCTTCTGGTGTGACAGGAAGAACCCAGATGAAGAGAACCAGGGCCCAAGGTCAGCAAGGATCACGTCTCTCCTTGGACCATGCTTCCTTCCTGCTCTGAGATCCTTTGATGCAATGACGGGCTGCGGGAGCAGAGGGTGGGGGAATCAGGAGGAGCAAAAAGCCAGGCCTCACCTGGGTGGGCTGCATAGCAGGTGACACCAGTGCCCTCAAGCCGGGTGGCGAGCTCGCGGGCAAACAATACGTTGGCCAGTTTACTGTCAGCATATGCCCGCAGCTCCTGCTGCCAGCCCACCACTGGGCGGTCCAGGCGGGTGAAGTCGAGGCGCCCACGCCGATGGGCAGCTGAAGATATCACAACCACGCGGCTAGGGGCGCACGTCTTCAGGAGGGGCAGCAGCAGATGTGTCAGCAGGAAGGGGCCGACGTGGTTCACCCGAAACAGCAGGTTAAAGGCCTCCCGGGTCCGGCCACAGGAACTGATCCCTGGGGCAGGGGCTAGGCGTCAGTCACTGCTCTGGAAGGAGCCCTGAAGGCTTCAGCATCCCCAAACGTGAGAAGGGAGTAGGGAGATCCTTCCCGTGTGTCTACTGGCCCCTGCTGCCCCCCGCCCCACCGCAGGGCCTGCTGCCCCTCACCGGCATTGTGGATGAGGATGTCCAGCCGAGGCTCAGAGCTCAGGAAGGCAGTCGCAAAGGCCCGCACCGAGGCCAGACTGGCCAAGTCCAAGGCCATGAAGATGACCTCATTGTTCCCACTCTCCTGTAGAGCGGCAAGGGCTGGGATTGTCACCAAGCACCTCTCCTCTGCCCTCTTCCCAGGGACCTAGTTCTGAGAGTCCTCCTCTTACTATTACTAAACCTGCCTCTCTGCATTCGAGTGTAATGGATAACAGATTCCAGTCCTGACCTTGCCTCTCATTGGAGTATGACTTTGGGTTAGATATTTAATTGCTCTGGGTCTCAGGTTTTCTCACTATAAAATGGAAAAAATAATAGTACTATAGTCCCTATCTCATAGAATTGTTGTGAGCATTAAATGAGTTAATATATGTAAAAAACCTGCAGTTAGTACTGGGTAGGTATTTGCTACGATTATTAGCATCCCCTCTTCCCATTATCACTTACCCTAAAATCTATAATAGACTCTTTTTTGGGGGTACTGGGAATCAAACTAAGGACCTTACGGTTGCCAGGAAGGGGCTGCACCACTGGGCTGAACCCCCAGCCCCTATAATAGACTTTTTTTTTATCTTTTTGAGACAGGGTGTCACTATGCAGTTCAGGCTGGTCTTGGGCTCACTTTGTAGCCCAGGCTGGCCTCGAACTCCCAACGATCCTCCTGCCTCAGCCTCCCGAGTGCTGGGATTACAGGCGTGCACCATGACACACAGCTTATAATAGACTTTTCATTGGTCTCCTCGCACTCACTCTTTTCTCCTTCAGTCGAGGGACAACACAGCCACAACGGTTTCATTCCAAAAGGCTATTCTTACAGTCCAGACTCCCTGAGGAACATTTCCTGATGCCCATTCTATTAAGTCCAAACTCCTCAGTGGTATCTTTCATGGCCTCCAGAACCTGGCCCTGGCTTGAAGCCTCTTTACTTTCCCCATCTTTCTTACAGTTTTTGAGCTTTAGACTCATTAAACTTTTTTCCTTCGGTTTCTTAGCTTCAGGATCTTTGCATATGCTGTTTCCTTTCCTGCTACTCTGCTTAACCTAACTCCTACTGATCGTTTTTAAAATTTTTTTTTTAAATTTTGCTTCTATTGATCTTCAAGCCTTTCAAACCAGCAATTCCTACCTGCTGGAAGCCTCCTCCCCAACTTGGTTCTGGTGTCCTTTCCTCATGGGACAAGAGCACTCGTACACCCACTTTTGTGCTTCGAGCTGCTGACTCCTCTCAGGAACTGGATGCCCGAGCGTCTTACCCCTCTGTGTCCCGCTATGTCCTGGGCTCACAGTGCCCCCAGTCCCCGCTTTTCCTCACCTGGCGAAGGTCGAAGGCAGCAGCCTCCCCACGTTCCCGGCTGCGGCAGGCCAGCACCACACGCGCTCCCCGGCGCGCCAGCTCCAGCGCTGTCATCTTGCCGATGCCGCTGTTGGCGCCTGCGGGAGGTGGGCGGGAGCCAGCTGAGCCTGGGGGCCGCCGCCCGGCCTCCCGCGCCCTCCTGCACGCGTGCACGGCCGCACTCACCTGTGACCACTGCCGTCCGGCCCCGCAGGCTGCAGATGCCGCCGCACTGCGGGGCCTTCACCAGGTTGTAGTAGACGAGCACGTACGCGCCCAGCAACAACCCCGCGCCCAGCAGCAGCGCCTCCATGGCGGCAGCGCCTCCCCGCTTCCGCCCAAGCCCCGCGCTGCCTCGGATTGCCGCCCCGCGGTTTCTGCCCCGCCTCGCACGGGCCTGGAAGTGCGCCGTGCGCGCCCCGGCCTCTCTTGCCAAGGCGGAGGCGGACGGGTGTGTGTGCGTGCGTGCGTGCGCGTGTGGGCCCTGCAGCGCCCCCTAGACGTGCGTCTGCGCCCTCTGGCGATGTGCCTGTGTGAACACCTGCGAGGTGAGTAGGTGCCTTGGGGCCCTGGAGAGCGCCCCCTAGGCGTATGTCTGTGGGAATCCCTACCTCCACTCCAGGCACTTGTGGCCCCAGGGTCCCCGGGAATGCCCGCTAGGTCTGTACACGCATCTGTACGGTCTGTAAGTGTGCAAATGGCTAATGGGTCACCTTTTGCGTTGTGGTTGTCTCTGGATTGTGTGAGTGTGCGTGTGTATGTGCGCGCGCACCCGGGCAAACACCTCGTAGGTGTCTGTGCCCATTCCGGCAGTCTCCTCAGACATGTGCGTGCGTCTGGAATTTCCGCCAACGCCTGTGCTGAATGAACATCACATTGTAGGTGTGAGTCTAGCACAGTCCTTCCCTTCTGGAGAGGCATATATATGAATGAGCTTGTGTCTTTGAGCTCAGTCTCAGAGGCCTTTTACAATGAACAAATCCTTCAATTTCTCATCCTCACATGAAGCCTTCAGGATTCTTCCCTATTCTACCTATGCAGGCCAGAAACATGACAAGCACCCAGGGTGCCCCAGGCTAAGGCTGTCAGGATTTACAATCATTCCTTGTCCCCTCCTGTCACTTCTTTTTCTTTTTTTTTTTTTTTAGGTTTTTTTTCCGGTACCTGGAATCGAACTCATATCCTCACGCTTGCCAGGCAGGCGCTGTGCCACTGAGCTAAATTCCCAGCCCACCTGTCACTTCTTTTTGGCAACAGGGTCTGGCTATGTAGCCCAGGCTGGCTCCCCCCACTTTTTTTTTTTTTTTGGTTTTTCTCCGGTACCAGGAACCGAACTCACGACCCTGTGCTTGCCAGGCAGGCGCTTTTGCCGCTGAGCTAAATCCCCAGCCCCGAGGCTGGCCCCTTGAACTCAGGGGATCCTTCTGCCACAATGAGTGCTGGGATTACAGGAGTGTGTCACCACACCCAGCTATCGCCACTCTTTCTGAAGTAGTAGCTGCTACTGCTTTTCAGGAGGAAATGTGTTTCAAGACTGGTTCTCAAAGGTATAGTAGGTACTCTGTTACTCAATGGAAAAAGGGACTATTATGGTAAGGCAAGCAGGGACAGCTAGGGAGGCATGGATAAGGGCACATTTGGCCAGGTGCTTTGGCAGAACCTTGCCTGAGAAGGCCAGTAGGATTTAGCACCTGATGTTTGGCACTTATGGTGGTGCAGAATATAAAGCTTTTGCCCTTAGGGAGTTCACAATGTCCATCAGGCAGGGGCAGACTGGAGGAGACAAAGATGGGTACAGGGGTTATCAGGGACAGACCTGAGTCTAGGTATTTTTTTTTTTTTTTTGGTTTTTCTCTGGTACCGGGAACCGAACTCACGACCTTGCGCTTGCCAGGAAGGCGCTTTTGCCGCTGAGCTAAAT